CAGACCCAGATTATATACCACAGGGAAGAAATGTGTAGGACAATTGAAGTCAACTCCTCAGAGAAAGGCAAGACTGCTACGTGAATCTGTCTAAGAGTAGGACTTAAAGGTTGTTTTGACCTAAGGGCAGATCTAGAGGCATTCCTCGAACAGGTGTTAATCAGAAATCAACATGGTAGATTAACATCCAAAATGGAGTTGCTTTAGCTTCCACAACTACCCAAAAGTTTCTATAGCACCTGCAACCCAGAGGATGGGCCATCAACCCTCAGAAAGTCCAGGGGCACCATAAAATTCATGGGCTTGGTCTGGTCAAGTTTTGCAACAGCCGTGATTGAGAAGATACAAGTCTTTGTATGTCTGCTAGGACATTGGAGGACCTTCATTCTCCACTTGGTCTAAGGTCTCAGGCCATCAAAACCTCCTGATAAGGCCGGGCGCGGTGGCTCACGCCTGTAATCCTAGCTCTCTGGGAGGCCGAGGCGGTCGGATTGCCTGAGGTCAGGAGTCCGAAACCAGCCTGAGCAAGAGTGAGACCCTGTCTCTACTATAAATAGAAAGAAATTAATTGGCCAACTAATATATATAGAAAAAATTAGCCGGGCATGGTGGCGCGTGCCTGTAGTCCCAGCTACTCAGGAGGCTGAGGCAGGAGGATCGCTTGAGCCCAGGAGATTGAGGTTGCTGTGAGCTAGGCTGACGCCACGGCACTCACTCTAGCCTAGGCAACAAAGTGAGACTCTGTCTCAAAAAAAAAAACAAAAAAAAACCTCCTGATAAAGAAAAGGGTACATTGGGACTAGGACACTAAAGAAGAAGTGTTTACTAAGGCCTTAGTGACAAAAGCACAAGCCCTGAAAAAAATGTTACTCCTAGGACACTGCTTAAATTAGATGTTTCTATGACTGAGGAAGGAATGGGTTGAGCTCTCTGGCACAGGGAGAGTAAGCAACAAATGCACACTGGCTTCTGGTCACAATTGTTCAAGGAGTGAGGGGACCAACAATGTTATAACCTGTTGCAAAAACAGTTCCTTGCAGTTCACCAGGTCCTCTTACAAATAGAGACCCTAACTGGAGATATACCAGTGAAAATAAAAAGTTTATCCCATTAAGGGTCGAGTGGATGGCCTATTTGCCAGACCTACATCAGCCATAGCACAAAACAGTACTCGGATTAGGTGGCATGCAAATCTCCAACAGACAGCGAACCTTATATCCAACCTTCTGTCTGTAGAACTATAGGTCCTACTGAAACCTGTACATCATACTATAAATTGAAAATCAGTCCCAATGCCACCCAGAGAAACACCATCAAATAAAGGAAGGAGATGGGAACCTATCCAAGGATCTTTGGTACGCAGATGGCTCCAATGTGGGTCAGCCATGAAGGTGGACTGCCATGACTATTCAACCAGCCACCAATCCCATAAGGGTGGAATCTGGAACAGGGCATAGCAGCCAGTAGGCAGAACTATGAGCTGTCTGGTTAGTGACTATGAAAAAGCCATGCCCAGTAACTCTATGTACTGATTCCTGTGCAGTCATGAAAGGATTGACACTGTGGATAACTCAATAGAAAAAGGATCAATGGCCCATAAATGGAAGGCAGTGTAGAAAGGAGAACAATAGGCAGGCATTTGTGACCCATTACAACCAGGGGTTGTTGTTCACCAACAATCATTCCTTAATAGAAATATAGAATCAGATACTCTGGCCTAAGCCTGACCAATGATAACTTCTGAAGAAGTAGACATAGCACATTGGATACATGGAAAGGGAAGTCACAAGGGGCTGCATGCCACTTGGAAATTGGCCCAATAAGCTGACTTATCAGTGTTCAAATAAGAAATAGAAAAGACAATACAAAATTGCGCTATCTGTTGTCAGGCCCATCCTTGGCAAGTGCCAGGGGCCACTGGAAACACTAAAAGAGGAGAGCCGCTGATATATGGCAAAGGAGTATATTGACCAACTCCCTAAGAGTAAGGGATACCAATGTGTACTCACATGCATAGACACTGTGAGTGGCCTCTTGTAAGTTTTTCCCAGTCAAAAAGCAAATCAGAGTCTGCAACACTTCAACTAAAGTATGGTACCACAAGAACAATTATCAATGATCAAGGAACACATTTCACAGGCTCCCTAATACAAGATTTGGCAGAAAAGGAGGGCATTACATGGCAATTTCATCTGTCCTACAATCCACAGGGAGAAGGACATATAGAAAGGAAAAAATGGCCCTTTTAAGGAACAAATTAAGCCCTGGACAGGACTCTCCTCATTAAGACATTGGACTATGTAAAACCCATCAGGAAAGGAAAAAAAAAGAAAAGAAAAGAAACTTGACTGTGGTTTTCATGGAAGCTGTATGTGCTTGCATGAAGCTCCCTTTTTGTGAGGAAAGTTGGGTTATGAATGTTTGATATGATGTGAAGAGCCTGGTGCAAGCCATGTGGATGTGGAAAAAATAAAACACTACTTTAATACCTGAACTCGATTCCATATGGAATGCCATGATTCTCCACTCTCCTTGTCCCATAACGCCTGGTCAGGGAATCTCGAGATGGAACCTATGGTGGAAAGCGTCACTGGGATGGATTGGTATCCTTCTTCCCCTGAAGCAGGAAGCCACAACGACCCTGAACCTGACCCCCACTCTCCTTTTCAATGAACATCCTGAAAAGACACATTGGCACTGTGCAGACAGTGCCCCCATACCGATGGGCACCAAAGTGGCACTAGTATGGTGGATTTCACCCAGCCCTATCACTGTGGAGTCGACAACTCCTCCCACACTGGGATGGAAGGTCTGATATAGCCCTCCTTGGAAGATTATTGCAGTGGGATGGAGGAGGTGTAATACCAGTTTTATTATACAGGAGGGGCAGGAGACCCCCTATGTGTTTTTAATAAATTTTTATCTTTTCATTGTTGGCTTGAGCTGCCTTCTCCTTTACTATTGTATCGTTCCCACTAGCACTTAGATATCATCGAAGAATGTGTTTTCTGGCCTGGGCCCATCATACAGTCCATATGCAAGGCTGATCTAACTGATGGGTGTGTGGTCTTATGCCCTTGAGTAACCAAGGAGGAACTCCATGGTGAATTAAGACACTACTGGGTGAAGACTAGATATCTGTACAAATCTGAATAACTGAACAAACGCATGGAAATGGATACCTTAGATACCTCTGACATCACACAGACAAACATGAGTGACTGGGATGTAACAGAGAGCAACCCTGGACACAATGTAAGTTTTTCCCTAAACATGTCCCAGAGGGAGGCAGCCATCAAAGCCAGAATTGCCCTGAAGAGCACCACATCCTGGCAATGGGGATCATACTGGCAAATGTGGGATGGTTCATTCCTATAGCAAGGATCTGTTGGGAACAAAATAATCTCTAAAGACACTCATGTAAACAATTCTAGGTACCTTAGAGTTCCTCCCAATTGCCCAATGCCAACATGCCATTATACTTAATGGCACAGCTTGGTTTGTCACAGACAAACCAAGTAATATGGTTTACTATAATATTAGACCAGTAATATATTGTATTGCTCCAAATGGCAACAGTGGCTCTGTGGTACTAATCTCTGGCCCTGGCTTCCTCTAATGTGGCTTGGATGGTGCACCTCGGCTTCCTCTGGGTGTACTTCAAAATCTCTGACACCATTTCTATTCCCTCAGTGAGCCCATCTGGAGGAATCAGTGGAGTAGGTCTGTTTTTTCTTGGTGGGATTACTTATTGACTATATTTTTGTGTCCAGAAGCTTCTATTGATATCATGTCGAAGATGGAAACCCTTCAGAGATTTGTCTCCACATCTTTGAATGACATGAAGTATGTTTTGGAGGCCTTGAACACTGAAACAGCTGCAATGAGGAAAGTAGTCCCACAGAACCAAGTGGCTCTAGACATGCTGACAGCTAGGCAAGGGAGAACCTGTGCCCTTTTAAAAACTGAATGCTGTGTATATATCCCAGACAAAGAAGTTAATCAATTCCTCCTCCATTCACAAAAGCAATTGCAGCTACTTGATTACGTGGGGGATGACTCCTGATGGTCTACAATAAAATCATGGTTTCCAGGATGGTGGAAATCTCTGCTAGTAATCCTTTTGGGAATTGTAATTTTTAGGTCTTGTCATATGCACCTGTATTTACTGTTGGTATGGTTTTTTTTTCTAGTGTTTCATAAAGTTTGGGAGAAAGATCTCGAGGTGATCCCACCCTTTCCTGCAGCTCAGGGAATATCTCCAAAAAATGGGTGTGAGATTGTAAAAGCCAGTCAAGGGGGTAGATTGTAGGGACCTCCCAGTTCCCTCTGCTTTCTTTCTGTAACCTGACCAAAAATCATAGAGTATCTTGACCACTCTGTGACCCAACCAGCTGCAGAATTTTACCAGCAAGATTGAACCCAAACCAGAACCTTGCACATTCCCAGGCACTGATAAAGTTATCTAGATTGTTGCCCAAAACACTGAAAGAAACTATCCCAGCTCTGAGCCAAATTCCATAAACCCTCATATAAACTCCATACTCTGACCCCATTTCTGGGGACACAACTAGGTAGAACACCTTTTTTCTCTCACTGTGTGTGTAGGGGGCAGGTGGGGGATACTGCTGCAGCACTCTACGTAAATAATAAACACTGTGGACTGATCACTCTGGCATTTAGTGCTTCTTTCTTTGCAAGTCCAACCAGTGAGATGAAACAGTATGTATCTAATAGAACTATCTTTTTTAAAAACAAACAAAATTTGAGATAGTGAATACCTGGGATGAGAGAAAGTAAGGCGAGGGACTAGAAAAAGAGTAGTAATAAATGTAAATTATCACCAGTTCTTACAGATTGGGTAATGGATTCAAAAATGTTTGTGTTTTAGGGCCACACATAGACCAATGACAGCAGGAATTATAATTAATACCATTTTGTTTATCTGAGTTCCACTGGGGGTGGGAGGATGAATCAAAGCCTTGGAAAAAGGCTATCTGGGAATGCAGGAAGATTATGCAGAGGAGGTAAAGTTTGAGCTGCACCCCTGCCACGTGGGCTTCAATTTCATTGCCTGAGATTGAAGTAGAGGCAGAGGCCACATGGACAGAACAGAGACAAGTTTATACTCTAAAAGTTGTCAAAATCAAAATTGAGTCACTAGTGTTTTTTTAAAAAACAAACAAACAAAAACCTTGACAGAGCAGGGAGGGCTATAGAGACTTCTCAGGCTTATAGGCCTGATAACAAAAACTATTACAAAACACTCTGCAAAAACCACAACATTGCACGAAAGCCATCGCAACCTTACACAAAAAAGACTTCTGCAAGGACATCTGCCAAGAAACTGCCTGTCCAACCTCAGACTGGCGTCACTCTTATAATTAATCTTTGTAGTCAAGGATAATCATTTCAAAACAATTTTGTAATCATCCTCATTTTTCCTTTAAAAACTTTCCACTTCCTTTAGCTCCCTAAATACAGACATAGTTTACTATGGCACGTATGTTACCAATGCCCTATTCTCGAATAAACATCATTTTCTTTTAGAAAGCCTCTCCGTTCGTTATTTAGGTTGACACCTATTACAATAGAGAAAAAAAGACACCTTCTCCCTGGAATTCAGAGAACTTCAAGACTGACGAAAACGCCCAGGACTAAAGTCAAAACGCCTGAAGGGATCGAGAAGGCATCTGGGAATCGTAGTCCAAACCCAGCCTATTTTCTGCGCAGACTCACAAGTTCCTGTGGACGGAATCCTTGAAGGGTGGTGCAGCTCCGTCCTTCCACCGGAAGTGTCCGATCGGAATCATCCCTGTGGGAGTGGTGAGTCCGGATTTGTGGACCAGGTAACTGGACCTGTGTCCCTCTGCAAACGTCCAGTCCCTCTCGTGTTCCTTTTGGGATTACAGCAGCCTCGGGGCGACCAGATCCTAGACCTCAGAAGATTCCTGGAGAAAGGTGGAGTTAGTTTGGACGTTGGGAGGACGCGCGCACTAGTGTATTTCGTGAGGGTTTGGCGGTCTCCATAGTTACCTCAGTCGCACGTGACGTCATAGTGGAAGGCTGAGAGGGCGTGGTTGGGGGGGGCGACTTACTGACCTTGAATCTGGGGTCACTGGTAAGAGGAGTGGACACATCTAGCCGGGTGGAACGGATTAAGATAGTAGAAGTCTATGATCTGCTGCTGTGTGCCAAAAGAAACTGTGTGCCGCAAGAGCCACCCCAATCGGCTGCGTCTTGTGAGGAGTAACCGCCCTTTTGCAGGAAAAGTGGGGACAACCCTGGCCTCTTGAAATTTATTCACACAGTAGTATTTCCTGTTTGCCTGGGACGCAGGGAAGCCAATACTAACCCCCTGCCCTCCTTCTAGAATGAGAGAGAAACAGCAAAGTAGGCAGTTATAAAACTGTGGGAAATGTCTCAATGTAAGAAACACAAGAAGGTACTGTGGGAGCTTTCTCCAACATGGACTTTGAAGCCTCTCCTCTGCTCTATGGTACTGGATTTCCTCTGACTCCCCTCCCTCTACCAAAAAAATTCTCACTCCCATCTTCCCCTCCCCCAACGTACACACCAAGGACCTATTCATCCATCAGGAGCCCTATTCCTCTGCCTTTCTCATCATGATTAATTACTCCTCCCTCTGTTCTCATAGGATTTGTTTTCACATCTGCTTAGCCATTTTTGTAACTCTCCCAACGCAATAATTGTAAAGTACTGGATGCTCAAATATTTTTTAGCTTGAAGTTAGTATGGCTTCAGGAGGGATATATCAAATCCTTGAGAACTAGATAATTCTATCTGGAGTTGCAGAATAAGTTTTAAATGGATGAAAAGTGATGAAACACAAGGAGATAGGAGTGTCAGTCGTCTGAGGAGATAACATGTTATAGAGCCACTTACTTAGCATGATAATTAAAGTTTAGTTCATATTATATAGGCTCCTTTACTGTCCATCTTCCTATGCTAAATGAGATAATGCTCATAAAGCATTAGGATACTGCTTGGTAAACACTTGATTAGCACATCTAGGAAACATAATGGGAAGTGTAATTAGACTAGACCACTACATCAAAGTGACCCAGTAAAATATTAGGGATTTAGACTATTCGGTTAACATATCATAGAACTAACCCCTTGTCTTCCTTTTGTCACTGATAAATTTTGTTCCTACTTACACTCTCAAATTGTATCTTTTCCAAGGTTTAGTCTGAGCCCGTGATATTCATTTTCATGCTCTTGGAGAATTAATCCTGATATATATCTTCAATTATCCTTTTCATGGATCTTATCCAGATCTGTGTTCCCATTCCAAGCTCCTTTCCATTATTAAAATCTCATAGTATCTAGCCTAGAGGACCCAGGTTAAAAAAAAAAAAAAAAAAAAATCTCATAGTATCTGTTGGAAATATTTTTCCAAGTAGATAGCTTATAATCATCTTAGATACAGAGTATCCAAAACAGAAGTCATCTCAAACTTTCCTAATTTCCTCTTCCATTCAATGAACCAACAAATATGGAGCCTTAAGAACAAATATTAATAATACATGGTGCTTAAACCTCATCGAGCAGCAGTCAATTGATGAAAAAAAAAAAAACCCTAACAAAATAATGCAAGATGATATGTGTTGTATTAACAGATGTATGTGTTAAGAATTTTAGGAACTCATACTAGAGTTGAGGAATTTCTTATCAGAGGTAGTAGAATTCTTAATCACTCTAGTTATCATACCCTGCAAGCTGGTTTCACCATCAATTTGCTGCTCATTTCCACTTCTCAACTCTTTTCCTATCCTCTCTTTTCTGAATCTTTCTTTCTTTCTTGTTCAGTTTAAACCCCACTGCCTATAGGAATTACTTGCTATCATTCAGTCTTTTCCTACCTCAGACTATTAGGATATTCAATGTCTCCACCATACAACTCATTTAGTACTTCAACGTTGAACATTTACCAAGCATTTATAATGTATGTGTCATGTGAAACATGTTTTTCCATTTAAATGTTTTATGTTATTTCTTCCTAACTATTTTACAAATTAAAACTTTTTTTTTTTCAAATCCCTTAAACTATGTATCAGAATACAGTTTTTTTCCAGGTATACACCATACTGACCAAGTTACCATCTCCGGGAGCAGGGCCCAAGTCAGCAACTTCAGGTGCAGGGTCCAATAATCTGTTTCTAACGAAGTTTTTATATGCTGATTAGGCAGCAATCTAGTCTTACAGTCAGACTTTCTTGTAAACCACTGCTGTACAACTTCTATCCCAATGCTTTGCTTGTGCTAAGATTCTTTTTTTTTTTTTTTGAGACAGAGTCTCACTTTGTTGCCCAGGCTAGAGTGAGTGCCCTGGCATCAGCCTAGCTCATAGCAACCTCAGTCTCCTGGGCTCAAGCAATCCTACTGCCTCAGCCTCCCGAGTAGCTGGGACTACAGCCATGCACCACCATGCCCGGCTAATTTTTTCTATATATATTAGTTGGCCAATTAATTTCTTTCTATTTATAGTAGAGACGGTGTCTCACTCTTGCTCAGGCTGGTTTCGAACTCCTGACCTCAAGCAATCCGCCCGCCTCAGCCTCCCAGAGTCCTAGGATTACAGGCGTGAGCCACTGCGCCCAGCCATGTGCTAAATTCTTAATAAAGCATATGTCAGGCAGGTATATACATACCTAATGAGTGAGATGTGCACCATCTGGGGGATGGTCATGCTGGAAACTCAGACTTGTGGGGGGAGGGGGGGAAAGGGCATTTATTGAAACCTTAAAATTTGTACCCCCATAATATACCGAAATAAAAAAAAAAAAGCATATGTCAGTTTATCAGTCAGTAGTGAACTTAGTGAAATGTTTAGTAAAAGAAGAATTTATATTTGCATTTTGCTTTTGGTCTCTGTGGCTTCACCTATAAATCCTGGTTTTCAGATCAAAAACCAGACTGACCATTCCCACAGACTGATATTTGATGAACTGATAAATTCAAGAACAAGACTCACAGAAGACTAATAAGCAAATCATGGTGCTGATTTATTATATTTGATTTTATTGGTGAGATGAGGGGCCTCAGTGGGGCCAAAACATGGACTGAGCCATGAAACTAGAAAGGAACTTATGGGATAAGAGGAAACCTACTGAGACTTTTGGGGAAAGAATCAGTTACACTGCTTGAAAATAACCTCTGGCTCTCAAGAAAAGTTGCCCTCTTCTATTATTTAAGAGACATATAAGTAATCCTATTTCCAAATTCTGAATATATATAATCTGAATATAACAATCCAAGCTTGTGTTTTCCTCACACTTGGATGAGTACAGTGGGCTCTGTCTTTTCATATTGCTGTCCACCCTAGAAATGAAGAACATGTCCATCTCCACAGTATTCAGCAGGTCATTATGCTCAGAAGTGTTCATTAGTGCCCCAGTGCCTGAAAGATAAACTCTAAAGTCATGAACTTGACATTTCTTAGAATTTGACATTTCTACAGTATGGCTCTAACCTTTGCCTCTGTAATTTTCTTATACAAACCTACTAAACTTTTTGCTTTCCTACTTCTGTGTGCCTATCCTTAACCAATTGTTCAAACTGTTTCCATGTTTGTAATTTCCCGTTTCTTTCTCTCCCATGTCCTAGTCAAATCTTATCCATTCTTCAGAATTTTGTTTTTTCATTAAGCTTCCCCTGGCCATTGCAACCAACTATACTTTTCCCTTCTCTTATTTTATAAAGCACTTATATCATTTTTCTCTTTTGGTCCTTATTTTCTGTATAACTTATACAATGTAATCATATATGGCTTATTAATATTTAGTATTACATTTAAGTTTAATATTTCTAATTTAAACTGTCCTATTTTTAAATTTAAAGTTTAAGCTGTATTGAAGGAGAAATCACATAACAGTTGTATTCTACAGAGCATGTATGTTAGTGCTTTTACCTACAATAAATGCCCAGTAAATTATTTTGTAATGGAGAATGATGATGTCTATGATGTGGTCTTTCATCTTCCTACACAGTAACAGTAATTTTTGATCCTTCAGGGGAGCTCTTGAAAACCCTTCCCAAAAGACAAGTGGGTTTTCTGATAATATAGTCTATCCAGAGATGGCTACAGAATCAAAGAAAGCTGCAGCTCAGAACTTTCCAGAGGATAAAGAACTTCTGATAGTAAAGATAAAAGAGGAAGAGATTATCTGGAGACAAGGCACTTGCATACAGAGAAGTGATCTCCTCAGGCAGGAGCTCTGCCGGCAACTTTTTAGGCAGTTCTGCTACCAAGATTCCCCTGGACCCCAGGAGGCATTGAGCAGGCTCCGGGAGCTCTGTTGTCAGTGGCTGAAGCCAGAGATCCATACCAAGGAGCAGATCGTGGAGCTGCTGGTGCTGGAGCAGTTCCTGAACATCCTGCCAGGGGATCTGCAGGCCTGGGTACATGAACATTACCCAGAGAGTGGAGAGGAGGCAGTGACCATATTGGAAGATTTAGAGAGAGGCACTGATGAAGCAATATGCCAGGTATGTAGGGGATATCTAAGACCTCCATAATGGATGGAGTCCCACAGGGGAAGGAGAGGGCCTGAGACTCAGTATGTAGTGAGACTTGCAGGAGCTGTTGGTTCAGTGTGTATTTATGTCTCCTTTCCTGTCTGGTACCACATTACATCTTATAGTTGATTTAGACTTGATTCTTCCTTCCCTGGTTTTGTATTCCTATAGGACAGGAGGTTCTCTTAGTTGTTAGAAGATGTTTAACTACAACAAGGATTCTCTCATAAGCCTAAATGTACTTTATTTTTCTCAGGTTCCAGCCCATGAACATGGACAAGAAATATTCAGGAAAAAGGTGTCACCACCTGGACCAGCAGTTAGTGTCCAATTCCAGCCAGTAGAGACCAAGGCCCATTATGGTTCTTCAGAACCTCAACTCCTACTGGACTGTGGTAAGTGGCAGAATGCTATGTGGTGCATGTCACTGAAGAAGCAGGAGAGTGAATCTGTCTCTTCAAACTAGTATTGGTAACTGTGGGTGGTCCTTTCCTTCATTATCCAATGAAAAGTAGAGAATGTATTTTTCCCTGTGAGTTTTTGACCAATTTGGGGGGAAAGATAATTTTGTTTCTTAACCAGAATATTTACAAACACAGGATATTTTTATGATGTGACAAAATTAAGGGAAATTAAAATGAATGAGTTGGCTGGGCGTAGTGGCTCACACCTGTAATCCTAGCACTCTAGGAGGCCGAGGCGGGTGGATTGCTCAAGGTCAGGAGTTCAAACCAGCCTGAGAGAAACCTCGTCTCTACTAAAAATAGAAAAAAATTAATTGACCAACTAAAAATATATATACAAAAAGTTAGCCGGGCATGGTGGGCATGCCTGTAGTCCCAGCTACTTGGGAGGCTGAGGCAGTAGGATTGCTTGAGCCCAGGAGATTGAGGTTGCTGTGAGCTAGGCTGATGCCATGGTACTCAATCTAGCCTGGGCAACAAAGTGAAACTCTCTCAAAAAAAATGAATGAGTTGAGAAAATGTCAAAGAAAGAGAAAAGAAGCAAAAAGGAAGAAACACATGGATAGAAACAAAAACAAAACATTATAGAGAAGTACCTATAATGATAGAGAAAGAGACAGATACAAATAGAATATAATTTGTAGGTACATAGACTATGATCCATATGTTTGCCTTTTGTATTATACTCTTGATCTGATAAAGGTCTTTTATATTTTTATGTAAAATTAGCCATACTTCTAGAGACAACCTCCATAGAATACTCATCTCAGTTCTAAAATTCATCTATTTAAAAGGTTCGTAGATGCAATATCACTTTAGGTATGAATGGTCCTAATAATAAGCCCAAGAATAAGTTACTGTTAATTTTTTATAAATTACCACATATTCCACCTTCACATTTATTCTGGAAATATCTCCATCTACCCTATATAAAATTGTAAATTTCCCCTACCCCAAGACCAATACTCCCTAACCCAGTTTCCTACCCTAGCGTATTCTAGACAAAGGAAATCCTGTAACAAAGAGGGGCTGCTTGGCTTCAGCACAGTATAGAGTCATGAGCTAGAAGGCAGGATTTGTGCAGACCAGATCATAAATGGGTCCTAGAAACCAGGCTGGGGAGTTGAGACTTGTGGAAGAAAAGAGATTAAAGGTTTCTGAGTAGGGTGTAAAAGGATGACAATGTTTAATGACAATTTGTCTAGTAAGGATATTTAAGATAATTAGGAAGAAGAAAAGCACACATGTATAACAGCAAGGAGGCAGTTATAGTCATCTGGACAGGAAGTAGTGAGGTTCCCGACTTATGGTGATGATAGCAGAAATGTAAAGGAGGGTATGTGGAGCAGAAAATGATGACAGAACTTAGAAGACTGATTAACCATCAAATATGAAGAAAAAATGGATAATGGATGAAGGATGGAGGTTTTCTCACACAAACCTCAGAGTTATTTATAGCTTTACTTTTCTCTCCTGTGTCCTCATCTGCTTTTCTTTGAGGTGGTTCCTTTATTTTTCCCTGTAAGCCTAATACTAGAAATGTATTATAGGCCTGAAGTTCCCAAGATCCCCGTTGGTCACATTATATAGTTATTTCTCTTTACTTTGTCTCCCCCTTCCCAATTCTTGCTGCTGCCGATCCTTCTCCCAATCTTTTCTATTATATATATATATATATATCTTCAGATATCTGTTTCCTCTCTCTGCCAACCACTGCATGCATTACATACTTTTACCAATGTTTCTTTTGTTTGTGTCCTTATCCCTCACTCCTCTATGAAAAACCACATATTTTATTTATTTATTCATTCATTCATTCTGAGTCAGAGTCTCACTCTGTTGCCTGGGCTAGAGTGCCGTGCTGTCAGCCTTAGTTATTTATTTATTTTTTTTTTCATTTATTTTTAAAAAGGAGACGAGGTCTCACTATGTTGCCCAGGCTGGAGTGCAGAGTGGCTATTCCCAGGCGCGATCCCAGTACTGATCAGCACAGAAGTTTTGACCTGCTCCATTTCCGACCTGAGCTGGTTTGCCCCTCCTTAGGCAACCTGATGGTCCCCTGCTCCTGGGAGGTCACCATAGTGATGCTGAACTTACTGCAGACACCCAGTCGGCATAGCACACTATAGCCCAGAACTCCTGGACTCAAGTGATCCTCCTGCTTCAGCCTCCCTGAGTAGCTGAGACTACAGTCGCGTGCCACCACCTCCAGCAATTTTTTATTTTTTTGAGACAGAGTCTTATTCTGTTGCCCAGGCTAGAGTGCCGTGGCATTAACCTAGCTCACAGCAGCCTCCAACTCTTGAGCTCACGCAATCCTCCTGCCTCAGCTTCCTGAGTAGTGGGACTACAGGTGCACACATTACCACTCTTGGCTAATTTTTCCCACTTTTAGTAGAGACCGGGTCTCACTCTTGCTCAGACTGGTCTCAAACTCCTGAGCTCAAGCAATCCTCCCACCTTGGCCTCCCAGAGTGCTAGGATTACAGGCATGAGCCACCGCACGCTGCCAAAAAAAGCCACATATTTAAAGTGGCCAAATCAAGTATCAATATGTAACTATCTTGAGCATGCCCCCAAGTTTCTTTTCTCCCAGCAGATGATATTTACTTCTTTTTTTCATTATTTTAGATGATGAGAGTGAAAACAATGGATCCATGCCAAAGCTGGACATTTATGAAAAAACAGAATCTCAGAGAATTATATCAGGAAGAATCTCAGGATACGTGTCCGAAGGATCTGATGAGCCTCAAGACATTTGTAAGTCTGCAGTCAGGGTAAAGAAGCAATGGGAAAAAGAACCAGGGGACTTTCAGAGACCATCATCAGCTCAAGATGGAGGTTTTGGTAAAATCCTCACCCACAAAAATACATTCACAAGTGAAATGATAAGCCATGATGGATGTGAGAGGAGCTTAAATCTGAGCTCAAATGAATTCACACATCAGAAATCTTGTAAACATGGTACCTATGAACAGAGCTTCAAATGGAATTCTGATTTTATTAACCATCAAAGAATTTATGCTAGAGAAAAAATTCACCAATATGGAAAATCTTTCAAGAGCCCAGTACTTATTAAAAATGCAGCGATTTTCAGTGCAGAGAAAACTCATCAGTGTAATGAGTGTGGGAAAGCTTTCAGACACAGCTCAAAGCTTGTTAGGCATCAGAGAATCCACACTGGAGAGAGACCCTATGAATGTAATGAGTGTGGGAAAGGCTTTGCAGGAAGCTCAGATCTTATTAGACATCAGCGAATTCACACTGGAGAAAGACCCTTTGGATGCAAAGAATGTGGGAGAGCATTCAGTCTGAACTCACATCTTATCTTGCATCAGAGAATTCACACCAGAGAGAAACCCTATAAATGTAGTGAATGTGAGAAAACCTTCCGTGTGAGCTCACACCTTATTCGGCACCTGAGAATCCACACTGGAGAAAAACCCTATGAATGCAGTGAGTGTGGGAGAGCCTTCAGTCAGAGCTCACACCTTAATCAACATCAGAGAATTCACATGAGAGAAAACCTGTTAATGTAAGGCATTTAAATTCATGGAAAATTTGAAGAAATAGCAAAACATGAAAAAACAATAAAAAATAAATATTGTGTGAAATGAAAGACCGAAAGACCAGTGTCTTTTTTTTTCTCTCTCATTCTCAGGGTGGCTGCTTTATGTATGGTCTTCATTTTTGTGTCTGTGCTTTCTGTGATATTGGGGATGTGCCTCTTCTTTCATTGACTGCTAAGGTCAAACCAAAAGAGCGGCATTTGAGGAAGGCTAACAAATTGGTTAGTCTGTGGCAGTGAGGTGTAGAGAAACAGGGACTGTCTGGGGAAATAACCATGATTACAGCATGAGAAGAAGAGGAAGATTCAGGTAAAAAGACTGAACCCTACATAATTCTTATTAGTTTTCCACAAGAGGAGGTAGACTAAACCCAGGAGTGAAATAGTTTGCACAACACAATGCACTGTAGAACCATGTTTTCAGAACATTCCTTTAAAAACTGAAGACCACAAAACTAAATTAAATGGTCATGTTAAGTTAAAGAGTCATGTCAAACAAGAGGGCATATGTAATGGTACCATTCCAATATGAGGCCAAAATCTATGTCCAGAGGTCATGCCAGGAAGTAAGTGACCAGAAGAGCATTCAAGGCAAGAGGACAGAATCCAGAGATTGAGGTAAGACAGGAAGAGAATAGAAGTGCATAAGGCAAAAGTTGGGTTAGGGGTGAGGAAATCTGTTCAAATTGAACTAAACCTCAGAAGTTGAAGGATAGACACAGTAGTATAACCAGGCTTTTACTGGTTTGGGGCACCTTTCTGGAGTGGGTTGCTAGAGTCTATAGTTTGGAGAGCTCTCCTGACAGACCTGACAGGATTCTCTGGCAGGCGGTTGTGGAAAAGGGCTGAGGGAGTTCATACTGAAAATAATGGTCCTGAAACTTCATTTTCTTGCTGCTAGCTGCTCTCCTCTCCAGAAAAGAAGTAGAGAGTGATAGTATATGAAAGAGTGTAGAAAAGGATGGTATCTGCAACAAGTAGGAGCTCCGCCAATGTTTTCAGGATATAAAGGTAAATTCTGCTTTTACCTATTTGATGAGGCATGTTTTTTTGTGTGTTTTATTTTGTTTGCTAATATGAGAATTAAAAGAAATTATATAAGGCTTAAATAGTCCATAGTATGTAATGTTTTTACATTATAAAATGTAAACAGGACCTTGGTATTAGTATGATAATATAATGTGAAGTGTACGAAATCTTCCACTAATAGGCTTGCTTGCTTTTTTTGTTATTATTTTTTTGAGTCAGAGTCTTGCTCTGTTGCCCTGTCTAGAGTACTGTGGCATCATCATAGCTCAGTGCAACCCCAAACTCAAGCTCAAGCAGTCCTCCTGCCTCAGCCTCCCAAGTAGCAGGTACTACAGGTGCTTGCCGCTACACCTAGCTCATTTTTCACAGAGACAGGTGTCATTTTTGCTGAGACTGCTCTGGAACTCCTGATCTCAAGCGACCCCCTTCAGCCTTCCAGAGTGCTAGGATTAGAAGCGTGAGTTACTGCTCCTGGACACCACTAAGAAGAAGCTTTATAAGAAATATCTTAGTGTTTATTTTCTATGACCTGGAACTAAAAATGTCTTGACAGGACCTAAGCACAATATTTGATTTGTTTTTAAAGATAATATCGAGCCCATAGATTTTTATAGGCACTATACTAATACGTCCTATCTCATGATTCTATAAGTTCTATTATTTTCCTCATTTTATAGATGAGAAAACTGAACTATTACGAAGTTAAGAATCTTGCTCAAGACCATATAGTAGCAAGTGGTAAAACCAGGATTTATTTATTTTGAGACAGAGTCTCACTTCGTTGCCCAGGCTAGAGTGAATGCCGTAGCATCAGCCTAGCTCACAGCAACCTCAATCTCCTCGGCTCAAGCGATCCTACTCCCTCAGCCTCCCGAGTAGCTGGGACTATAGGCATGTGCCACCATGCCCGGCTAATTTTTTGTATATATTTTTTAGTTGGTCAATTTCTATTTTTAGTAGAGATGGGGTCTTGCTCAGGCTGGTTGCGAACTCCTGACCTCTAGCAATCCCCAGGCCTAGGCCTCCCAGAGTGCTAGGATTACAGGTGTGAGCCACCACGCCCGGCCTTAAAACCAGGATTTAAATGCCCATTTTATTGCAGGGCCCTAGTCCTTAACCCTTAACCTTAATTATGTCACTCACAGTATCAACATGAGATATAACATCAGAAAACACAGTACTTGTACACCACAACTTTAAAGTTAGGAAAGGGTGAGGCATAGCACCCTTTTAGAAGGCTAAGTGGTCAACATTTCAGAATCAGGGTGGGGGCTTTGACTGGCTAGACCTGGAGTCAACTTTGCTCTCCAACTACGCAGTGGACCACCATTTCCTAGAGGGGCGGGAGCCAAGGTAAGCCCATGGTTGGCTAGGGTTGTGTGGCTTATATGAGCAACAACCCTGCCGCATTGGGCCTGGGTCATAGCCCAGGGGTATGTGCATACTTCCCGCCTCTACCTTCTCTCTGGGTTCATACCGAAGGTTAGGAACAGGATTGTGGGTATGAAGGTGGCAGTTACTAGAGAAGGCTGCAACTGAGAACCACCAAATCCATTCCTCCTCCACACCACACACAACACCGAGACAGACCCCGGAAGGGCATGGAGAGAAGACTCTCTTGCTTGCCTCTCCTCTCCCCTCCAGGAATGACAGCATGAAGCTGTCAAAGCTGTCGCCAGGAGAGGCATTAGCAACGGAGCCCTGTGGGAGGGATGGGATATATAATCACACACACACTTAGATTTATGTTGTCAGTGAACCTCTGGACATGATTTGATTATTTTCAAAAGATAATTAGAAGTGTTATCTGTAGATTTATTTGTAGTGAGAAACACCAGGATGATTGCTCTGGTGTTTTAATTTCATTCTATTTGCAATCAAGCTTCACTTTGTTTCCATTGTCAACCTTGGGGGGAAAAAGTCATTAGAGAAATTATCTCCAAATATCATGCGTTCAATTTGCTCGTGAATAGGAAATGAGGATTACAACCCAGAAAGCACAGAATGGCAAGCCACCAGTGCATTAGGTGAGGGAAGGGTAAAGGGAAGCTTTTATTAGCAAAAAGGGAGCAGTTCACCTAAGCTGCTTGGAAACAGAATTCATTGGTTCCAGATGCTGAAAGCCAGAGTTGTCAGTTCATTGCTGGAGATGCCATGATTGGGCAAGTATTCTTTCCATAGGATCTTATCTGAATTACTGCAGTCCTAAAGAATTTCTAGAGATAAAGTTTGTCAAAGCAGGAGATGCCTGATGGAAATGAGTTTCTTGAAACTCCTTGAAAACCATTCTTATCTCAGACATTCTTATCTCAGAGGCTCAAGCATGAGCCTCCTCTCCTTCTGGCCTTTCCATCCATATTTTGTCTGGATCTGACAAAAGTGATTTCATTCTGGTATCTGCAATTTTCACACCCTATTATAAATTTTATGTCTGTCTTACCTAGTTTGTGCTTTCTGGCACACATGATAAAATTCACCAGAGTTGTCAGTTTTCCTTTTGAATTAGTGGTTCATTCAATGAGTTTCAAGATGACTAGACTTCTTTAACCTAAAAAAAGTTAACAAACTTTTCATTTCTCTAAATTAATAATGATTTATTTTGGCATAGGAATGACCCAAAAGAAACATGCCCAAGGGCAGTCTCCTTAAAGCAGAGACTGCCATATACCCTAACCTGTAAAATAAGACATTACTTGAACTGTCAACAGCCCATAATGGCTACACCCTTAGCTATTATATTTCAAAGGCAACATTGCACATTCAGGGCAGTATTTAAATTCCACTGGATACAGTTTAACCACTTCGGTAGGAGCGTGTCAACCATAATCGATAGCCACAGATGAACGCACACAGCGACTTTAGCTGACAGCTGTGATATGAAGGCACACAGCCAAGCGTCTTTAGCCAATAGTCATGATATGACTTTTCTAATTTTTCATTTATCAAAATAAAATTGTGAACATTTAAAAATAACGTAATGAAAACATGTATGTTACCTATTCTGATTTACATTACAAGTAAAGCTGCCTGTAAAGTAAAACAAGCTTTCAGTACTTTAAAGCTTTCCTCATCACACAGGAGCAAAAACGGATTCGTCATCAATGCACAGCACAAACTATCGTGGGAACTATGGGTGCCAGCTGTGGGCAAGGTTTCGCCCGGTGAGTGCGGTCCTGAAGTGGTTAAAAAGCTATGTAACACTTTCATTTTTAGATATCAATATATACAATATACCTAGAAATTATGTCAGATTAACTTGAGCGCTGGTGTTCTCTGGTTGTGTGGCACTAAATTGGTCGTGTTGTAGGGATTCCAGGACTGGTGGGGATCACACATATGTGGGCACATCCTGCCCCTGGGCTGTGTGGACTTTGGCAGTTCCCTTAAGCTTTTTGGATGTTTTCAGTATAAAGGAAGATAAAAATCTCCCATTCCCCACTCTTTATACAAAAGGAAAAGTCAAGCCTGGAGGCCTGCAATACTCTCCTCCAAATGAACAGCTGTTACCAACATTATACTGATAAGGAAAGCCTCCATCTATTACTTGATGCATCAGGCACCTGAGAACCCCATCCCTCATGAAAGACACGCATCAGCATAACACTATTACCTGGCCCAGCAACTAACCTATTACCTGGCTCATCAGCATAACACTGACCCTATTTATTACCTGAACACATCAACATAATACTAACCTATTACCTGGTTGGCATTAACAACCTGATACCCCACCCCTTTGACTACCCCAACTTAATAAAAGTGGGAAAAAATTGGGTAGACGGGGCTCAGAATTTGGTGGCGAGACCCCTCTGAGCCCGCTGGAGAATAAACTTTGATTCTCCGACTCTCTGTGTGCCGCTTGGTTTGTCCTCGGGACATACATCAGCCAGATCGCCATGGAAAGGTAACTACAAGGACCCCCACCAATCATTCATAAAGAAATTCCTTGCTGGCCTCCCATAAGTATGGACATACAAACCGTAACTTTAGGTCTGCAGGCTAAGTCTAGCTCCTAAAGTCTGTTA